CAATAGCTTCATCTGCATGTGAAAGTGGGACACTGAATAAGAAAGATGGAAGAAAAATGATGTGTTTGAACCATAATGTTGGCCAAGAACCCCCAGCCGCTCTCGGGAGAAAGACAGGGCGTTCTAGTCCCTTAGATATTAACAGGGTTTGTAGTCCTGTAAACAGTGGCCGCCTTGGAAACTCACAAGGACAGTTGTGCCCTGTCCTATAGGGTCGCTAGCATCTTATAGCATCGACTCGATGGCAGTGCGTGTGGTCTTTGGTTTGGTTGGTGAAGAATATTGAAAGTACCATGGACTGTCAAAAGAGCAGATGTGCCTTAGAAGAAGTACAGGCAGAATGCCCTTCAGCAGCAAGAAGGGTAAGGCTATCAGAAGAGACCAGTCCCTGGGGAGAGACATCATGCCGAGTAAGGCCCTGGATGAAATGGGCGGGCACAGTGGCTGCCAGCAACGGGCTCAAACACGAGAACAATGTCGAGGACGGCCCAGGACTGGACGCTGTTTCGCTCTGCCGGCACTGGGGTAGGAACTCACTGGACGGCGTGAAACAACATCACGGTCTGAGTCACACAATCAATCAATCATTCTCCCCCTCCTTTCCTGAGTTGTTCTTTCCCCGGCCCCGAAGATTCCAATCCGAACTTTGGAGTTGCTGCTGTCAATCTGATCCCTGTACAGACAGTCCCTAAAGGAGCCTCCTGCTCGGAGGAGACGCTGTTGACTAGTTTAGCTAGACTTTTGTTGGTAAGACCTCAGGGTTGAGAGCTTAAACTCGGGGCAATCGTTTGGGAAGTTCATCCAGCCTCCCTGGATCCGGAATGTCTGGAGTCCAGGAGCATTTGAAATTGTTTCCTGCATTCCCTCCCTTTGGATTAGGACTTCTCCATGCCTTCTTGGAGCAAAATGTTCCATGAGGGTGGCCAGGCACCAGCCAGTTCTGGCCTCGGGGTGAAGGAGGCAGCTGTTGATGGGGGCAATTGGCTGCCATTCCCTATCCTTGCCTGCTCCGGACACTCCTTCCTTGGTTGCTCCAAGTGATGAATGGCCACTTGGAAGTTGTCAAACCCTCAGGCACTACTCCATGAACCAGGAGGTAGAACCAGAAGCACTAAACACATCAGTTCCCTGGGGTGGCCCATGACTATAAGCCTCTACACCGAGAAAGCCAACCCTAAGAGGTGTCTGGTTGGACACAGCAGCTAAACTGTGTGTTAGTGTCTCCTGTTAATACACACTCTGTCTCACAGCTTTGCCACTTCAAGGATTTACAGGTATACAACTCGACAATTAGCAGCAGCAGCAGTACAGCCCTGTCCTTAATTAATGAGCTTCCCCCCTCACTGTTAACTCTCCCTCTCCTCCTCCTTCCCACCCGTTGGTAACCACTTTAAGAGGGGTTATCTCTCCGTTGGCTGTTGTCTTTTCATCTAAGTGAGGTCAGACCGTCTTTGTCCTTTGCTGACTGACTCATCTCACTCAGCACCGTCCACGCTGTAGCAGGTACCACGAGTCCATGGCTTCGACTAGCTGAGTCGTACTCTGATTCCATTGTATGTATGGACCGGCCTTTGTCTGTCCATCGTCTGTTGATGGTTATTGGGGTGGTGCCCGCCTTTTGGTTATCATCAACAGTCCTGCGGTGAATGTTGCTGTCAAGCATCTGTTTGAGTCTCTGCTTTCAAGTCTTGTGGGTCCCTCCCAAGGAGTGGGATTGTGGGGTCCGGCGGTAGTTGGAGGAGGGCTGATAGACAGCATTGGGTAAGCGTTGGACTCCTAACGGCAAGGTCAAGGGTTGAAACCCATCAGCTTCTCCATTTGAGAAAGATGAGGCTGTCTGCTCCTGGAAAGCTCTCCAGCCTTGGAAACCCCATTCGTGGCCGTTAGGAGTCAAAAGGAACCGGGTAGCAGTGGGGTTTGTGGCAGGTCTGTGCTTCGTTTCTGAAGATCCACACGGTGTGTGCTGCAAAGGCAGAACCAGTTTGCCTTCCCACTAGCAACGGATAGAAACGCCCCCGCGTATTCGTAATTTTCCTTCTTTCTTCCTCTTCGCCACTTCAGGGAGGAATGAAATGAACTCTGGTTTGGATTCGCCTCTGTCTGATGGACTGATTTTTTTTTTCATGCCTTTGGTGGCCGCTTGCATGTCCTCTTTGGTGAAAGGTCTACGCAAGCCCGGTGCTCCTTCAGGAACCGAGTTGTCTTTTTGTGGCAGTCCGTTGGGTAGACAACGGTCTATCCAAGACGAGCCCCCAATAAAATGATAAAAAAAGGTTGCCTCTCCCCGGAGAGCACTGCAGTGGTTGTCGTCAGAAGTCTGTGGGGTCCCCAGCCAGCAGCTGAGACATCCTCAGCCTCGCTCTGGTCAGCAGGAGCTTCTGGACCATCCATTGGTCAGGGCAGCGTTGACGGACAAACGGAGGCCTTGAGCTGATTTGAACGAAAGAAGGGCACCACATGGCCCAGAGGGCTGGGGAACCGTCTGGGAGGCTGGACAGCCACTGGCCGTTCTGCCTAGTGTTCCAGAGACTGGCTCTTGCTGGGCTTGTGAGAACACTGACTCCACCGTCCATCACTAGCCCCCCGGCTCAAAGGCCAGTGATGGAGCCCCACCTACAGACCCATACTTCCAAACCAGCCAAGGAAGCAGGAGCCCTGGTGACCCAACCTGCCAATTGGAAACCCACCCAGCAGGAGAGAGAGAGAGAGAGAGAACCTGGGAATCCAGCCCCAGAAGGATCACAGCTGGGAAACCCCCATTGGGCTGTTTGTTCTCGGTCACCTGAGTGGCTCAGAGTCCAAAGTGAGACTTGACGGCACCAAACAGCAGCTGGCTCTGCTGCCCGCCAAGCACAGGTCTGGAGACACCGAAGCGTAATTCTGCAAACGCACCGTGGGAACCTGAGGAAGTCAGCTCAACAGCACTGATTCAAAGGAGGATATGAGAACCTGCTATCTAGATTAACCGGCTCCTCTAGCCATCATCAGCCCAGGGAACGGCCGCTAGAATAAAATGGCTTAAAGTCAGATGCTCCACTGGTCAGCCCTGCAGTCAGTCAAACCGGAGTCTCTCCTCGGTGACAGGTCGTTTCTCTAATCTAGAGAAATCATCGTAGAGGTGGTTGGCTACAGGAGAGCCAGCAAGAATGATGGATGGGGTGGGCGTGGGGGGAGGCTGATGTGCAATCCTACTGAGGGGATTGCAACCTGGGCCCCGAATCCCCAGGTGTGTACATTGTTGAAGGGGAAACCAATTCGCTCTCTTAACTCTCACTGCAAAGCGAACACACCCAAACCCACAGCTGTCGTGTGGGTTCTGACTGAAACCTCGATTGGGTTTCTGAGACTGTCAATCTTTGCAGGAGCAGAGAGCCTCATCCCTCTCCCAAGGAACCATGGGTGGGTTTGAACTGGCCTGGTGGTGAGCAGACCCCCCCCCCCCCATATCTTTAACTATAGATAGATAAATAATGATGGATCCGCCATGCTGGGATGTTTTTAGAAGGAAAGCATTACTCCAAAACGTCTTTGGAGACCTGGGTCTTTAGGGCTAAAACATCAGGGGCAGGAGTAGGTACAGCGGAAAGACCCGCAAGAGTAGGGAGGAGGAGAACCCCAGCCCGAGCTGCATATCTGAGCCTACAAACTCCACGCCCAGAATATGCAAGCTCCTGCCGGGGTCCCCGGTTTCCCTGGGGAGTAAGTTGAAGAGGGACAGACTGGTCGGTTCTGCATTCCTTGCACGTGCCTCAGAACCTCCTGCAGGGCTTGTTGACCAATGATTGCTGGTGCCCCCACCAGGGTCTGATGGAGCAGGTCAGAGCTAGAGACCCCAGCACTGGTCTTTCTAACAGGCTCCCAGAGATGCCCATGCTCCTGGTCCAGGGGCCCCATCTGAGAACCAGCAGCCTGAGCCAGTGTTTCCCAGCAAGGTGCTGGAACGATTCAGGGGGCTGCCAAAGCAGACCTGTATCCTCAGTGATGGGCTGTTGTACAAAAGCGTTTTAATCTCGGGGTGGGTGCTGAGTTAAGGGTTTTTTTTTTCTGAAGGAGGGGAGGGTGGTAGACCAAATAAGCTTGGGAATGGATGGTCTAGGTGATGTCTTAGGACCCTTGGCTTTGACCTCAAGGGTCCGTTCAATAATAATGTTTGACCCTGATGGTGTCCGATGGGAGATGACATTGCAAGGGCAAAGCCCTGGCAGTCCCATGGCAGACCCGGTAGCAAGCACTTTGCCAGTCGCGGCATCTCGGTCCCCTAAGACCCAGGAGAAGGAGCCCTGATGCCAACCCAGCAGCCTTTGTGGGAGGAGAGAGTGCGATAGAGATGACCGCCCAGGAAACCCTGTGGGGCCCTTCTTCTCCACCCTGCACAGCCGCTCTGACGCAGAACCCTGCCCGCACAGAGCAATGGACAGTGAGACCCAGTCCCTGCCCAGGGAGGGTGGACAACGGCTGGGTCGAGTGGTCTAGAGGAAGCTTGAATCTGGTGCTTGGGCAAGTGGCTCAAACCTTTTTGCCTCAGTTGACTTACCTGTGAAAGGGGGCGAACCCTATTGAGGGGCACGCTCTGTAAATGGCTGTTGCTGGTAGTCTTATCACAGGCAGTGGAGTGTGGGCTCTGTGTGTGTGTTGGGGGGGGGGTGTCAGGGTAGAGGTGGGGACAGAAACATTACCTGTTTTCGTAGCCATACACCACCCAGACCGCTTTCCCATCCACAAAATCCAAGATGGCTCATGAGAAGCAGTGAATATAATTTATTAAATAGGGACACGAATAACTTTAAGGACAATAAATATCAATAAATCAATAAATAGATACCACCTCCAGCCCTGGCTCGGACAGTGAGAATAAGTACAATCGGAATCCGCAGCAGGAAAGCACCCTGGAAATAGCCAAGAGTCTAACAGTGCCCTCGCTCCAGCCAGACCTTAGTGGCCTCCAGGACCAGCCTGCCTGGGGGTCACTGGCATGATCACACAGTCGGTTCCGAAAGAGTTCAGCCCGAGGGCCTTAGCTGGCCTTTCGTCTCAAGAGTGTGAATTTGGTCCATGCATTTTGAAAACTGCTGGAAGACAGTCAGGATGAAGCATTTCCATTCAAAGGCATCCGCAGGTACGGAGACCTGTATTTCTGAGGAGTTTTGTGGTCTGATCTTCTCCAGCTGTCCTATGACCTCTTCGATGTCGCGTGTGTGATGTGGTAGCGTCATTCCGGCCGTCCTGATCGCCCGGAAGTAGGACAAGATGGCTGAGCTATTGATGTTGTTTGGGGGCTGGGAGTCAGAGGTCAGGCAAGGCAGCGTGTAACGGGAGCTTGCTGGTAGGCCTTTCTCTTCCTCCTTCTGTGGGCGAGGGGAGGGAGGGAGGGGGTGTCACATTCGGAGTGTCAGCCGGAAGCCCCACCGCTGGCACCCGAGTGCTCGGTCCGAGGACAGCTTGGGCTGAGTTTGTCACCCTGCTGCCCCTCCTTGCTCAGCCGCCCTGTGGGGCTGTGACCCGCTAGCGCTAGCATTAGAGAGCTAACCCAACCGACCAACTGCCCCGAGGGGGAGAGGGGAGGCGGGCAGTCTGCTTCTGTCCAGGTTCACAGCCCCCCGGAAGCCTACAGCACAGGCCACTCGGTGCTGTGGTGCTGCTGAGAGTCCAGTGAGCTTGGTTTTGGGGGCGGTTGACAGGGTTGCCCTGGGAGTGACACCATGGAGAACAGGTCGGCAAAGCTGAGGCATAGTTGACAGCAGCGGTTCTCAACCTGTGGGTCACGACCCCAAAGGGGGTCGAACGACCCTCTCACTGGGGCCGCCTAATTCCCAATAGTAGCAAAATGACAGTGATGAAGTAGCCACGAAAATCATTTTATGGTTGGGGGGTCCCCACCAGCTGAGGAAAACTGAAAGGGTCGCGGTGAGGAAGGTGGAGAACCGCTGTTTGACAGCTTGCCCCAGCTGTCACTCCTCCCAGTCTCCCCTCTGCAGCTTTGCTTCAGGCTGGAAAACCCACGTTAGTATGACCAGGAATCCAATATTTGGGGAGCAAGTCTACTCAAGTTAGCCCTAACCCCCCACTGACACTCCCCACCCCAGCCCCTGCCGCCGCCTCCCCACTGCCATCAAGTCGATCCCAACTCAGAATCGGCCGCATCAGTCGTCACGAGAAACAGCTGCCCGATGGCCGTCTGCCCGTGACCACCTACTAGGCTAGGCTCCCCACAGCCTGTCTCTGTGTCCCCATCTGCTGTGGGCTGGGCACAGCCCTAGCTATAGATGTGGAGAGCCAGGTCTCCCTGGGGGGCCACGGAGAGCATGCTCTGCTTCGTGTTTGCTTCTCAAGTTCGCTGAAGGAAAACCTCTGTCACTTACATAGTTCTCCCACAGTCCCCTCGCTGTGTTCTGCAACTCCATGATGATCGTCTGCCAGTCCTTTGAGCTTTGCCAATCGACGGGTGCCATCCAGACTGACTGCCAGATTCCCGCCCAGCAGAGCAGAAACAGAGCCAACCTCTTGGGTCCTGGATAAAGAGAAGGAGGAGGTGAGTCACCTGGATCAGACACCCCTCGCCCACCTCAGCCAGTCATGGACGCTGTGAACCACTGGGTCGAGTCCCTCTGGGGTCTTCCTCTCTGCCTGATGAGTCGTGATGATGCCCGAGAAACAGTGAGCCCAGGGTGCAGTGGTACCTGTGTGGGAGACCATGGCAAGCAGGAACCAGGCTGCCTTGGCACCAGCTTCAGCAACAAGATCAGTGTGTGCACCATGGTCATCTGGCTCTATATAAAGGACCACTTGTGGGAAGGTAGCACCACCAGGGTCCCACCCAGGGCAAAATCATTGCTCAGCGTTTCCCCAGAAAACATTAGCAAAAGTGTGCCACCCCAGGTTGGGTGAAATCAGTGCTAGGGGAAGGAAGTGCTGAGGTTACCCTCAAGGGAGGCAGACGCCTGACTCAGTGCAGATAGAGGAGGGCCCACACATCTTTGCCATGGCTTCTTGGAAAGAGCTGGTTGATCTGGCCAGAAGAAATGTGAAGGCCCAGCGTTGAAGGGCACAACCACAGGGGAACCGTGACTTCTAGGAGCAGAGGCAAGCGACCCACAGGGAATTTCTGGGGAGGGTCCCAGGGTGTGTGCATAGGCGTGTGACGCCAGGTTTGCAAAACGGATTGTCATCTTGGGAAACGTCTGAGGTGCGCGAGGCTCGGCGACGGCTCTGCCAACTACTAGAAATGTGGGGGCCCCAGGCTTCACCTCCATTCTGCTTGACCGTGCCCACCGCTGGACACTTAATGGTGTCTTGGTGACCCCCAGGCCTAGGGGCCAGGGCGGTGCTAGAGCTCGTTATTGCGCTCACCTCTTCATGAGTCGGTCATGCTTTTGGCCTGACACCAGGGTAGGGCGTCAGCAGCGGCCATGTGTCAATCACGGGATGACCCCAACATTCTAGTGGGCAAGAGGCCAAGAAAGCATCAGGCAGTGACACGAATGGACGTCCTGCTCAAAAGACAAAACACGGTGAGGGGCTAGGAAGTGACCGGTGAGAGCCTTCAGGTCAGTCTCTCTGCGGTGACACTGAAGCGGAGAGAGCTGAAAGGTGGGAAAGAATGGGCCGGGAGGAGCTCTGGGGAAACAAAATTCCCAGGAGAAGGGCACGAGTCCACCAACCCTCAGAGATCGCAGGGTCCCCCGGGTGGATTCAGTCTCTGGGGAATGGCCTCTGACTGCAGGGGCCAGAGAGGGCCCTAGTGAGGACGCAGGGGACATGGGCAGGTGGCTCGCTGTCGTTAGATCAAAATGACCTCCCCTTGACCCAGGGTAGAACTGCTCCAGCTTTCAGCATCTTCTGCTTTGTTCTCAGTTGAGGTTTTTCTTCATTTTCTTCGTCATTGTTGTTGGGCCATTTGCGTTCTGTCTATGAAACCCCCATTAGCTAAAACCATAGCGACAACCACTGGATCAACAGATTCAAAGGGACGCGCACAGGCAGGCCGGAAGGCAACGGGGAGCTGCCCACAGGGAGGACAAGGGAAAAGACCTGGAATTGTGCCCTGGAATTGATTGTGGCGATGGGTGCATAACTCCTATGAATGTGATCGGACTATTGACAGGAATGAGATGTGAACTGTTATGTTGGTGAAATTATTAAAAATAAATAAATAGGTTTACAAGCGGCCATCTAGCTGAGAAGCAACAAAGCCCACATGGAAGAAGCACACCAGCCTGTGTGATCACAAGGTGTCGAAAGGATGAGGTATCAGGCATCAAAGAACAAAACATATTATTATTGTGAATGAGGGGGAGCGCAGATTGGGAACCCAAAGCCCATTTGTAGGCTACTGGACATCCCCTTACAGAAGGGGCGTGGGGAGGAGATGAGCCAGTCTCAGGGTGCAGTGTAGCAACGAGGAAACATACAACTTTCCTCTAATTCCTAAATGCTTCCTCTCCCCCCCTCCAACTCTCATGATCCCAATTTTACCTTACAAATCTGGCTAGACCAGAGGATGTACATTGGTACAGATAGGAACTGGAAACACAGGGAATCCAGGGTGGATGATCCCTTCAGGACCAGTGGTGAGTGTGGTGATACCATGAGGGTGGGGTAGAGGTGGGGTGGAAAGGGGGAACCGATTACAAGGATCTACATGTAGCCTCCTCCCTGGGGGATGGACAGCAGAAAAGTGGGTGAAGGGAGACATCGGACAGTGTAAGATATGACAAAATAATTTATTAAGTATCAAGGGTTCATGAGGGAGTGGGGAGTCAGGAGGGAGGGGCAAAAAAATGAGCTAATGCCAGAAGCTTACGTGGAGAGCAAATGTTTTGAGAGTGATGAGGGTAATGAATGTACAAATGTGCTTTATACAATTGATGTCTGTACGGATTGTGATAAGAGTTGTATGAGCCCCCAGTACAATTATTTAAAAAAATAAACTAGTTCAAAATAAAGAAAATCCTCAGAGAAAATGAGCTCGATGTGCCCAGGGAGCAGGAAGAAGGTCAAGGTGGCTGATGGGAGAGAGGAGAAGTAGGCAGTCCCATAGGTCGTGAGAGCAGGCTCAGGTTTTAGTTCAGTGTGATGAGATACCGCAGGAGGACTTGAGGCAGAGAAGTCTAGGATCCGGTGTACTTGAAAAAGAGATGGGATCTTGATTAAAGAATGGATTCTGGAAATACAAGCTGGAAGCAAGAGCCTCTGGAAATTGTCCCCATGAGAAATGGTGATGGCAGCTTGGACCGAGGTGAAAGTGGACGGAGATGGGATGTACAGAGCTGGCTGATGAACTGGACGTGGGAGAGGAATCAGAGTTCAATCAAGGATGACTCCCGCCTCTTGATGAAGCCACATCATGAGTCGATGAGAGGGAAAGCAAGAGTTTTGTTAAGTTTGAGATGATCATGGCCACCTGTCAGATGCGGGGTCAGCAGTCGAATAGGAGCCAAGAGCTCAGGGATGAGGTCAGGTCTGGAGGAGTCCATTGAACTCAAGATGTACGAGAGCAGACACAATCTCCTTCCACCTTAGTCTCGAGTCTCTCTCCTGCTGCTGCTGGGTGTCTTCTGTCTACATCCGGGCTTCCGGACAAAGTGGCTACACTCACATGTCCCCCACTTTCACAGCCACCACTGTATGGTGATTCACATCAAAACGACTGACCCCATTCTAGTGTTCCATCTCTCCAATCTGAGCGTTGACTGGGCTCAGCTGGGTGGCTGTCTCCAGTTCTTGCCTGGCTGCTGTCACTGAGGCTAAAGTCATCTGACGAGCGGCTCCTTCATTCCCATGTCTGGCTGCTAGGTTGAGGGGACTGAAATAGTCCAGGGAAGCCCACATGGGGCTCCTCAGCCCTGTTGTTCTTCTCCTCTCCCCTCCCCGATCTTGCTCTCTCCTGATCTCTCTCGCAGTACAATCTAAACTTCTCACATGGAATATATGTCCCAAGTCTGGAACCACAAATTTTCCAGGTTAGTCCTTGTTTTCTGAACTCACTGGGCAGCAGGTACCTTGAAGGTGGAGTCTCCAGTATTTTTCACTTCTCCATTGGCACTGGACTCGCAGTGGATATTTAATGTCTTTGATGTTTGCCGCAGGAGCCCTGGTACCGTAGTAGGTCAGCCGTTCAGAACCACCAGTGACTCCTTGGGAGAAAGTGGAGGCTATCCAGTTGTAAAAGGGCCCAGGCTTGAGAACCCTCCAGGGTCACCATGAGTCGGCATCAACTCGCCAGCAGTGAGTTTGAGGGGGTTTTGCAGCTTTAACCAAGCAACCTTAATGCCATATCTACTCCCTAGGTATTCCAGGTAGAACTGGTACTGTAAACCACACCTTCGACAGCTCTGGGAACACTCCGACGGCGCCTCGGAATTGGAAACAGAATTATCACCTAATCTAGCATTTTCACTGTCTTTACGCGAGCAGAGAGTTGCACTTTTCCCCCTAGTCAGAGCAACTAGTGGGTTTGAGGCACCCCTGTGAGGTCAGCAGCCCCTGCCTCGCCCACGGTGCCTTTTACAACTTGAAATTATACAGAGGGAAAAACCAAAACAAAAGCCAAACCCACTGCCATTCCAACTACTGTCGACCTTAAAGGACGAGGTAGAACCGCCCCCGGGAGTTTCTGAGACTCACTCTAAGGGAGAAGAAAGCCCCGACTTTGTCCTACCAAGCCGCTGGTCGCTTTGAACTGCTGGTTCTGTGGTTAGGAGCCCAACACGTAACCTGGAAGCAACCGAGGCTCCTTGGAAAGGGGAAGAAGTCAGTCACAAAACAATCTGATGGGCTTATCTGAGATGTCTGGAATAGATTTGTTATGAGAAAGTAAATTAGCGCCCCCCCACCCCCACCCCGAGGGTGGGGGAAGATAGGAGAGGAAACGGAAACGAGGGTGACTGCTAATGGGTTTCTTTTGGGGAGGGATGAGAATGTTCCGAAATTAAGTTGTTGTGAGAGTTGCGCTGTGACTATATTGGAAACCAAGGATTTGTACACTTTGAAGGAGTGAATTTTACGAGTTATGTCAATTTTATTGCATTAAGATGCTATGCGTTTCCAGTTTCGGGCACCCAGAGCCATCCGTGTACCCCATGAATTTCGCAGACCACTGCGCAGGAGTCGCTCCTGGCAGCAGTGGGTTTGAAGCGATGCTCCGGGGAGGTGGGCAGGGAGAGAGATGGATGAGGCTGGAGCGGGAGGCGGTGGACTCAGCCACCAGCCTGAGCGCCCTGGCCCTGCTCGGATGCGCACGCGCGCTTGCTTGGGGACGCTCCGCCAGCGTCTCCGGCTGCCTAGCAACGGGCCCCGAGGCGGCGGGCGTGGGAACCTGGAGGACATGCAGGCAGCCCCAGTGACCGTGAGCGCTGCGGTTGGGGAGCACCTGCGGCAGCTGTGTCTGCGGGAGTTCCCGTGCGGCGCCGGCAGCTGGGTGTGGAAGGCGAGGGGCGGGGCACGCGTGGGGACTGCCGAGGGGAGGGACCGAGGGCCGGGTCCGGCTGGCCTGGGATCCCAGGGCGCGCTCTGATCCCCGAGGAGTAGGCG